CCCAAACCCCAAACCCTAAACCGTGGGTCTCGAACCTGGGATTCCGGCCTCCTAAGCTCGGTTTGTATGTGCTTATGCAGGCCGGTTTAGGGTTTAGGGTTTAGGGTTTAGGGTTTAGGGTTTAGTAACATTCCCTAAGCCTCTAGGTACCTACTATATAGGGCCCTAGGGGCTCTAGTACCCTACATAGTAGGTACCTGGGGGGTTCGGGATTGTTGATCTTCAACGATCTGATGTGCTTGCATGGAGGGCATGGCAAGTTGTGAATCCTTGCCCGAACGATCAGGGGACGGAGGGACTAGGTTATACTTCGGGGGGTTATAAGTAGTAGTTTCCCCCGAACATTAAACGCCACCCTCCCCCCCCCCCATAAAAATTCGGAAAGTATTTGTATGATTAGTTGTTTATTTCTACTGTCACCTTTCGGGGGTCGTGCTTTTGCTCCTGCTCTGGCTCTCGCTCCCGCGCTGGCTTTAGCTCCTGCTTCTGCTGCGTCTCTTGCGCCTGCTCTTGCTCTTGCTATTGCTGCCCCTAAGCCCTAAGCCCTAAACCCTAAACCGTCTCTTGTTGTAAATCCTGCTCTTGCTTTTGCTCCTGCTCTTAAGCCTCGAAACTCTCCTCTAAGCCAAAATTCGTTTTAAAGGGTAGGGATGATTTCGGGAGGATTCGCCCCAATATGGTTTTAGTCTTAGGGGGTGTTTAATAAATGGTGGAAGCGATTATTCTAGTTCGGGGTTGTAGCTCTATCCAAATTGCAAGTTTAGCCCCCTGCGCCTCATAGTGTCTCTATAGAAATTCTAGACCTTTACTTTAATTCCCCACCTCTTAAACCCTACTTCCTAAAGCCTAAAAACCCTAAACCCGAAACAAGCATATTCTCACTGGCCAGCCGATCTGGGTAGTCGCTCCAGGCACCGGTGGTGGCACGGCGGTGCGTCTGACTGAGGACGCCCTCAAATCGAGACATGATATAGGGGCCTTTATAATCATCAATACTATTTGGGGGGGTCCTTATTGTAGTTACCCTAGGGTTCCAAGTACCTGATAATCGTATACCTTTCGGAATCCTAACCTACAAAACGACTATCCGCAACCCAAGTACATGATTTTCAGGTCCTTTGGACCCTTAAGGTTATAGTATAGTACACCCCCAAACCCTATTCTAATTATTAAGGCTTTGTACATCAAAGTAAGAAGAAGCGCCTTCACGCAAGAGCCGTATGGTTGCAGGATTCCTTTAAGGGTTCGTTTAGGGTTCCTTTAAGGGTTCATTTAGGGTTCCTTTAAGGGTTCATTTAAAGTTCCTTTACGGGAGATATATCGTGGGTGCGGGAGTCCTAGTGGCATCCAGCAGTCCTCAAGGCAAGGAAAGGCCTTCTGGAAGTTTAGGGTTTAGGGTTTAGGGTTTAGGATTTAGGATTTAGGGTTTAGGGTCTAGTAGGGTTTAGGATTT